CCTCCAGAAGTTGCTTACAGACAACTTGTTTAATTTCCCATTACCCGCATGATGGAAGGATTTAATTTTGCCTGAAATTTTTAATTTGAAGAAGAGTGAAATTCTGTGACATTGAAGCTTGTGAAATCTTCAGTTAGCCGGCCAGAAAGAAAGCTTCTGGAACAATGCTGCAAACGGCAATGTACTTTAAACGAAGCAAAGAAGACGAAGAACCACCCGATCGATGGCTGACCTCAAATGTGAGTTGAGCTATCGTCCTTCTAAGCTACAAAAACGAGCAAGTGTCGTATGACTTGTACGCCAACGAGTAAATATCGAAATTTCGCTTGGTATGACGACTGACACCACTGAAGCACCTACCTACAACGGTGAAAAAGCAGGACGTGGTGGCATCGCCGAAACGGTTAATGGCTTGACAAGAAATCACGCCCTGATCCTCGACGTAGACTTCAGCTATGGTCAACGTGCACAGCCCAGTGTCCGGGTTGTAGGTTTGCCGGAAGTCGTTGCTCTGCTCCATAATCTGGCCATCCTTGCGCCAGATAATCACCTCTGGTTCGCCAAAAAGCTGAAGAAAGACGAGAAGATAATTAAGGTCGTCGCAGATTAAGGTCACAGGTTAAGATCAGTTAACAACGGTGCAGGTCTACCTTGCATGCGAATGTCGCTCGATCTCGCTGAGCCGCCCTGACATCTGTTAGTTCTCTCGAAAAGTAGGGAACTGTTCCAAGTTCTTCGAGACTACTCGACTCTCCGACTGAAAATCGGTCCGATGAATGCGGACTAATGAAAGCCAAAGGTCGTTGCTTTCCGGTTGGTTTTGGAACTAACAGCGAGGCCTCGCGGTCTTCTTCCATATCTGAAACAGGTCACAGACAGTTAGCACAGAGTCATTCAGAGGCTGGCCGGCAAATAAACATCGGCAGGCAGGCAGACGACTAAAAAGAAAGGAGAATCTCGGAAACCGCCCCACTTCCTCGACATCACTCAGCGAGAGAGTCGGTTTGAAACCGCTGAACTCACTCGCCTGCCGCCTGCTATACTGCCACGACCAGTTGCTGCCAGCAAACGAGACGAAATAACTACTTCTCTCGTGGTGAGGCTACAAAAACCAACAGCTGTTTGTCGACGTGCGGCATCCTCTGGACTTATGCTAATATTAGTCTGTGTCAGAGAGTGATTCACCCTCTTGCTCACTTGCACATTCACGGTTCTCAAATCTCAAATCGGGTGTTTCGGCTGCTCAGCTGTAAGAGTCGTGACACCGTCGGCTGGCGCTGACTGACCACGCAATCTGAACCAGATGATTCCTTCCTTAGTTCACCCAAACCATCAAAACCACGTTTGAAATTGCCCATTTATCCAGGACACGTGGCCAGTAGATGGCCTAGAATTATACCTGTTAAATTAAGCCTTTTATTTTTATTCGAATGTCATGTCAATTAAGCAAATATTTGTCCGCCGCGTTACCTGTCTTTAAGCATCAACCTCTCAACTGCAGAAAATATCATTCAACGGACAATCAAGCCATCAGTTGCACACAAGTGCGATCCCTCAGTAAAATTTGCGCTAAGAAACTGGCACACTGGCGGACGAGAGTTTATGGCTTCAAATTAATTGCACGGCGGCCGGCAGGCACATATGTGTCATTTGTGCAGGTTTTCCTCAACACACCACCCCGGAGAAGTTAGAAAAATTTTATGCAACCT